TCAAATCTCGCCTATGCTCGCCTCCTATTCTCGCATATCCAAATTTTGATTTGCCATTTCATCTGTATACGGATGCCAGTCAGTACGCTATTGGCTTTATACTTGGCCAAGTTGTCGATGGTAAGGAAGTTGTGTTAGCCTATGGTGGCCGCGAACTAAGTGACGCGGAGAAGAAGTATAGTACGACGGAACGGGAGGCATTAGCGGTAGTAGATGGTATAAAGCGTTATCAACCGTACCTTACCGGACAATCGTTTTTCGTTCACACTGATCATGGTAGTCTGTCGTGGTTGATGAAAGTAAAGGATCCTACAGGTAGACTTGCTCGATGGGCGTTGCAGCTACAACAGTACGATTTTCAGATCCTTCATCGTTCTGGTTCCTCAAATGGTAACGCGGATGCTCTTTCCCGCCGCCCATACTCAACGCCCGTTAACTCTTTATCGTCTGAACATCTCGCTTCTGTTGCTGACATTTCCGTTCCACTGGCTGTCATAGATCATCCATGCCCACCGCCTGAAACTTTATACAAACTTCAGCGCGAAGATTCAAATCTCATAGATATTATTACTTATCTTGAATCGAACGAATTGCCTTCCAACGATAAACAAGCGCGCTCCTTGCTCCTGTCCATCGATTCTTTCTTCTTAAATGAGCATGGAATTCTTTGTCATCTTTGGAGTCCAGGTAAACGTCGAGTTCAACAATTGTGTGTACAAGTTGTCATTCCAGCTTCATTACGCCATGAAGTTTTAGTTGCTTGCCATGATCATTGCACCGCTAGTCACCTTGGTATCACAAAAACCTATGACAAAATACGTGCACGTTATTATTGGCCTAATATGTTCAAGGATATCGAACATTGGTGTAATTCTTGTGTTGATTGTGCGATGAAGAAGATACCACGTGGACACCGTAGGGCGCCATTGTTACCTATTCCAGTGGAAGGAGCCTTTGACAGAGTGGCTATGGATATTCTCGGTCCATTTCCAGAAACTCATGATGGAAATCGTTACATTATCGTTTTTTCCGATTATTATACTCGTTGGCCGGAAGCATTTGCCTTGCCGTCTACTGAAGCATCCCGGATCGCGCATATCCTCGTTGATGAAATTCTTGCTCGTCATGGTGCTCCTCGCGCCCTACTTTCTGATCGCGGGCCTAACTTTCTAGCGTCAATTGTGAAAGAAGTGTGCAAAATTATGAACACTCGGCGTCAGCTCACCACGGCCTACCATCCACAGACAGATGGTCTTGTCGAGCGTTTTAATGCAACTTTGGCCGAGGGTCTTTCTATGTACGTCAGCTCTAACCAAAAAGATTGGGACAAACATATTCCGATGGTCCTGTTCGCTTATCGTGTTTCTCCTAATGCCACGACAGGAGAATCGCCGTTTTATCTATTGTATGGACGCGAGCCACGCTTGCCGATTGATGCTGCGTTGATTTTACCGGATTCTAAGTTGTCGTCGTCAGTTGCCAAACTGCGTGCTGAAATTGTTCAAAATTTAGAGAATGCGCAGTCTATCATTAAGTCTAACACGCAACTCGCGCAGCAAAAGATGAAAGCCTACTACGATCTCAAAGCGACTCCTGTTCTATACGATGTCGGTTCGCGCGTTTGGGTCTATACTCCGAAGAAACGCAAAGGTCTGTCGAAGAAATTACAGCATAACTATCACGGTCCTTATCGCATCGTAGCAAAGCTATCTCCGGTTCATTTCAAACTTCGGACCTTGGATAATCGCCCTGTTTCTGTTCCGGTTCATGCAAATCGACTAAAGCCATACCATGACCCGGCCGACCGACCGATTGAACCACCTGTCGATGACTCTTCGTCTCTTGATTTACAAGACGCAGACTTACCACCGGACAGCTTCATTCCATTGCAAGCAGCTCCTCCGCAGGAGAACACTCGCCGTATCGCTCAGCAAGTTTCAGACACTGATTCATCGACGGAGCCGCAGATTACGCGCCCTGAGGATACCTTTACCCCTCAAGTTATACGCGGTGTATAGTTTTGTCATTGGTCAAGCCAGGAGGCTTGCTTCGAAAGGGGGGAGTCGTGTTGTATAGTTAACATTACGTCATTGGACGACGAGATTACGAGAGATTGCACCACGACATGCAACTCAAAACAAGTTACGTCATGGTATATTTTGGCCGTCAGGGATTGCACCACGAAGTGCAACTCGAAGAAAAACCTTATGATTGGACAAATAATAACAAGAACCCCTTTTCCTATTGGACGTTTGCTTTGCTGGAACTTTTATTGGATGTTTAGATTTATTGCACCATCTATTGTTTAATCTTATATAAATTTGAGCTTTTAGTTTAGAGATTGAGAGAAGTTGTAATTTAGACGCTAGTTTGACGCTGATGAAGATAAAGATAAAGACCAGTCGCCGTTTCTCTCTCTGACGTTCTCCTGCCGCCGCTAAAGTAAAGATTCAGAAGCAAGGTCGTAAGTTAAAGCCCTGAATTTTATTGGTATTTGTTAAAGTAGTAAGAACTCACGCAATTTCATGTTATACTTAACACTGTCGTTCAACCTCAAGTATAACACAATTATCAAAAATTCTAAAATTGTTTTTCCATTGATTAAAGCGTAGCAAGACCGTATCTTTTGTTAGTCTATCTGAAAATGACTTTGTGATTATTTAAAAGCCATTCTCTGGCCACATTTTACACTAGTTGTGCCGTGTTTCTAAAATATGACAATGCCTTGTAAAATCGGATCTCGGTCTAGATATCTATAAATAAAAAAAACTTTCCTTAAGAACTGGCAAATTGAAATTCAGCCTGGATGTTTTTAATTTTTTCGAAAATTTGCTCCAGGATTGTTCTAAATCATTCCTTGAATTATCGGAGTTCAGGCCTCATTTGCCAACAAAATTGGTGCGACAGGCGTTATTTGCTGACAAGTTTGAAAGTTCACCCAAAAGCACCCCTAGATGGCAAAAAACTCTATGTTTTTTATATAAATTTTTTGAGGGTGATTTCACATTATTGTTCTTAATTTGTTCTTGACATTTGACAAATTTTGAGGCTCGTGTTCTTAAATAATTTTGTCTTTGTAAACAGAGTAATAAAACTACTGAAAAATAACTCGGATCCACTAACAGTAACCAAAATCCAGATGTTGTGAATGATATACCCGCCGAAGTAAGAAATGTCAACAGTCTAGAGATCTTCCAAAAGCTAATAAAACAAATCAAAATTCTGTGCTCCTGCAAATTATGAACCCGGATATAGCAGGGCTAGCATATATCACATAGATAGATTCCCAGAGGGTGGGGGGACCTGACTAGGAAAATGACAAGGGGGCTGTGCGGGAAACCTTTTTGCACACTAACCCTGTCCTATAAAAATTTGTCAAAAGCATACCCTGACCCACAAAAGTATTCCAAAAAATACGGCACACAGATGCCAAAATTTCTCTAGATGTCATGATAATTACCACTAGCGAACGTAACTGAAAATGCTCATTCTAATTTAAGAAAAAATTAAATAGCCCCCCAATAATTCCCAAATTATATTTAAAACCATACAAAAAGTTGGCCCCAATCTGCTCTTAGTTTTTAGCATCTTAAGCCCCCTCCCCCCCTAAAAAACGCTTTAGCTCCTCCAATCTGTGATATAAACCGCTGTCATTGGTATTTAATAGGCCATGATAATTGTTTAAAATTAAGTTAGAACATTATATCCAACTTGAAATAAAGTTATCAAAAGCTAGGAAATAGACTGTGCTCCAGACCCCTCAAATAAGGAGTCTTGAGCACAGGTTACAAGAACAAGGCAAACATTTCTGACAGGATCATATCATACACCGTGGAAATTTTGCAGGAAGAGCTTGTTTTTGTCACAAGTTAGTGTAAAACTAAAAGGACTAGCAAATTAGACCACAGTTTTTTTGACTTTAACATTTCTTCAAAGTGTAAATTATATAATGAAAACTAAATTGAAACGGTTCTTACTTTGGAAAACCCATTATAGAGATGCTCAGGGTACACTTTTGATCTTTTCGAAAGTTAGAAAAACAATTTTTCCCGTATATAAATGTGTACGGTACTTTATTATTATCATTCGTTATGTTGATTAGTAGTGGACATTTTAGGACAGTTTAGGACAGTAGAGAACTGGGACCGAGTTTCAGTTATTTTTAGTTAGATCTTCGAGAGCACGAGACAAGATGGCGAATCTTAGAGTTTAGACATGTCGTTAAATCTTTGAACTGCTCCGAGTGGTAAAACAATAGAATTGATGGGAGAGAGGCTTGTACCAATACGAGGAAACAAACGCTCAATACTCTAAATGTGCGCGGCAGCGCGGCTCCCAAGCAATCGAGAGACTACAGCAACATAAATGTGAGCATGCGGTTTCATGAAAAGTTGCCAAAATATTCTTGGAAATTTTAAAAAACTTTTTCGATTTCACAACTTCCGGGAATAAAATATTTTAGGCTACGAGATTATTCAAAGAGTAAGGAATATATCGAGCAAGGGAATACGAGGCTTGTAGTCTATAAAACCCTTAAAGCCTCCATGGCCAGTGGCGTAGCATGACCTTCCAGAAGAGGGGAGGGTAGCGAAGAGTAAATTTCACCGACTAAAACATAGATGGAGGAAATTTAGTTGCTATTCCACCTTCAGGCAATTGAACCAACAATTTCATCCAGAGAATAACCATACCTTGTATTTGTATAATATGTCATTACCTCTTATGATATCGATATTGTCAAACGCATTCTTCTACTTTTGAACCGCTTCGCTTTTCTCCGCGTCCGCGCCTTGCCTGCTTGGCGGCTGATTCTGTTTCTATGGATATCATACCAAGGCCTATCAAATGGATTCCAATTGTTCCTAACATGCTATTGTAAAAATGGCCAATCAGTGGTCGGAGCAGTTCAAAGATTTAACGACATGTGAGTTTAGCGATTTGTGTGCGGCACATTTCCGTACATACGTGGCGACCCTGCCAGGACACATACCGGGAGAATCATGGCAAATCCATCAACAGAAACAGCAACAGGAGATGGGAAAAATTTAGGCCCAGAGATTGATATCGAGAAGGAAATAGCGAAGTTGAATTATTATACAGAGCAGACAGATGAGCTCATAGAAATTGGAGACACAGTAGAAATGGAGATAGCAACAAATAGGGTGAAGGTAATCCACAATAAGATAATTGATTTGACAGGGAGAATTGAAGAGATGAAAATAGAACAAGGGGAATCATCTAGGTCAGTTAGGCAGTGGAAAAAGGATGTGAAAGATAAATATACAGGAATGTTAGAGCAAAATGAGAAAATGTTGAGAGCTTTAACACAAATAGAAACTCAAACAAGAGAGGAAGGTCTGAGAAGGGAATTTGAAAGGAAGCAAATTGAGCAGCTAAGGGAAGATAAGAGAATGCTAGAAAGACAAAAGCAATTAGCAGACCATGAAGAGAAAATAAGAAAGGAGAGATACTTACAAGAGAAGTCTTTATGGGAGGAAAGAATGCATGCTGAAATTAAACTTGCAGAGAAAAAGCTAGAAATGGAATGTGGGGCTAAGGCAACCTTTTCAAAACTGCCAGAGCTGAGAGTCACACCATTTAAAGGCACAATAGCTGACTGGATAAGATTTGAAAACATGTTCACAAGTCAAGTTTTAAGTAAGGGGTTTAGTGATGAAGTTAAATTTGGATATTTGTTAGAGATGGTGAATCCCAGAGTAAGGGATAAAATTGCAAATCTGAAACCAGGAAAACTTGGGCTTGAAACTGCCTGGGAAAGGCTCAAAAAGGAATATGGGCAAAGGAATGCTGTGATAAACACACACATTGATGAAATTGTGAATCTACCTACCATAAAGGGAGTAAATTATGAGAAAATTCAAGAATTTTATGACAAGCTCACAAAGAATTATGATGCCCTGCTGACACTTGATGAAGAAAACATGTTGAGAGGATTTGTGATGACAACATTAAACAAGCTGCCAAATGTCAAGTCTGATTTGGTAAGGCTGGATGATGATTGGGAAAGCTGGGGGATGTCAAAGCTTATTGATAATTTGCAGAAGTGGTTGAAAAGAAACAAAACAGAGGAAATTGGAAAGCCAGTGGAAAAAAGAGAAAAACACTGGTATACAGGTGAAACAAAGGAGAAACACTCAAGAAAATGTATTTATTGTGATCAAGATCATTGGAGTGATAAGTGCAAAACACAGGAAACTATAGAGAGTAGGAGGAGCTTCTTCAGAGAAAATAAGCTATGCTTCAACTGTGGGAAAAAAGGACACAGGGGGGATAAGTGTCTAAGTAGGGGGTGCTACTTTTGTAAGGCTAAACACCACAGCAGCCTATGTGAAAAGCAGAAAGGTGAAAGTGAAAAAGGTTCAATTTTAACAGGATTCACACCTTCTGTGGAGGAAACACTCCCACCAATTTTGCCTCTAAGAATTGATGGAAAGGTTATTTGGGCATTCCTTGACACAGGTTCAGGAAGGAATTTCATTTCTAAGGATGCGTTAATGATGCTCAAATCAAAACCTGAGAGATATGAAACAAAAGATGTAACAACTATCAATGGAACAGCAAGAAAAGCCATGCCAATCTTTCAGATGACCATAGAATCATTAGACAAGAAAGCCAGAGAACATATTGAGGTTGCAGGGGTAGAAATGCATGATTTCACAACAGTCAAAAGGCCAGATTTAAGGAAATTGAAACAGCAGTTTAGACACACCAAAGACAAAGAATTCTACATAACAGCATCAGGGGAACATAAAATTCACATGATTATTGGAGACAAAACATACAGCAAACTGAGAACAGAGACAGTTTTCAAGGGGAATGATGATGAACCAATTGTAGAAGGCACATCATTTGGTTGGATTATTCATGGAGGAGAATTTTCTAGCACAAATTGCATGTTCACCAGGGAGCTTGGAAATGAATATGAGAGATTATACAGCCTTGACATACTTGGGGTTGAAGACAGGGGAGAAGATGACCAATTAGATGTTTACAAAGAGTTCAAAGAGAACATTTCCAGACAAAATGATGGAAGGTATGAAGTTAATGTTCCATGGATACCAGGAAGCAATTTGGCAGAAACAAATGAGATGCAGAGCAGAAAGAGATTGAAAAATGTTGAGCGCAAACTGAGGCATGATGAAAAACTGCAGAAAGAATACACAGAAATTGTTGAGAATCAGTTAAGAGAGGGAGTTGTGGAGAGAGTTCCAAGTGAACCATCTGGAACAAGAATATTTTACATGCCTCACAAACCAGTTGTAAGAGAGAGCGCTGCTACCACAAAGGTGAGAATGGTATTTGATGCTAGTGCACGCCCAACGCCAACAACAAACAGCATCAATGATTGCATGTACAAGGGACCTGTGTTGCAGCCAAATATTTGGGACATTATGGTCAGAGCAAGAATGACACCATATCTGCTGCTAGGAGACATACAAAAGGCATTTTTACAAATTGGAATTAAATCAGAGGATAGAGATGCATTCAGATTCTTATTCACACTGAGTGGGAAGGAAGAACACCTAAGATTTCTAAGAGTCCCTTTTGGGGGGGAAGCCAGCCCATTTATGTTGGGGGGAACCTTGCAGCACCATTATGAGGAATTTACTAACACAGAGCTAGCCAGTACCCTAGAAATGCTCAGAGAAAATACATATGTAGACAATCTGATGTGTACAGGAATGAGCATTGAAGAGCTTCAAAGATTTAAAGGAGAGGCATCTGAAATACTAGAGGATGCAAAGTTTCAAATTCATAAATGGGAATCCAACATAGAAAGCCTAGAAAGTGAAAATATGGAGAATCCAAGCAAGATTTTGGGGCATGTTTGGAACAAGGAAGAAGATACTTTGATGATACCCATAAACAAAGGGGAAGAGGATAAGGTCTCAAAGAACACTGTATTGAGTCAATTAGCCAGAATTTATGACCCCTTGGGAATCATTTCACCAACCCTAGTAGAAGGAAAGAGAATCTTCAGGGAGGCCTGTGATGAGAACAGGGGAGGGGATGCTGAAGTTTCTGAACCCCTTATGAAAGATTATTTGAGATGGATGAGACAGCTGAGAGAATTAAAGATACCAAGAACTTTAGTAAGAGAAATAAGAGCAGTTGATGCAGTGAATTTACACATATTTGCAGATGCAAGTGAAAAGGCATGCTGTGCTGTGACAATTGCAGTAGTGGAACAAGGATCAAGCAAAGTAAAGGGCTTACTCACTTCAAAGTCAAGAATTTCAAAGAG